TCTTTTTTTTTGGTCGAAAAAGTGATAAGATTATCAACAAGCATTTGCTAGCTACCTCATAATTTTACATGAAAAGTAATGGTACCCTGTTAATATAATTTTAGGTTTATCTAAATGATTAGTTTTATTATAAAAGTGAGAAAGTTAGAAAGAGGGTTAAGAAATGGTACCCTGTTCCAGCAAAGAAGGCTAGAGGAATCATGAGCTCCCATCCATTAATAGTCATGCTGCATGATAAAGTCCAGTAGTCATAAGTCATACAGTAATGGAAAAGGGATTAGCTAAACCAGTGATTATTAAATCCTATATTTTAATTAATTAAACTTGTCTTAAAGCAAATTTAAAAAAAAGACTTTTAAAATGTGAAACATAGAATCTCGTACCAAACTGACAAGGCATCCACTGCAATAGTTGCATTTTTCAAGTTTCCAGTCATCAATATCAGAATTCTGTAATACCAATTCTCCAAGCTGCATAAATAAAATAGAACACCACCCACAGAAAATCAGCAAAAACCCAACAAAATAAAAAGACTGAAAATAGAAAATACATGTACCAGAGCATAACACCAGAAGCAGCAGAAAGTTTGGTAAATTCCCAGAGCCCAGAAAAGGCTTGCATAGAGAAACCAGTCCAAGTCTGAGGGCACCAACCGCAAGCAGCATACACATAGAGCCCAAAAACCAAAAACCACCAGGAAATATCCAAAGCAATGGCAGCACCAACAACCCCATAATCCAACACATAGATGAAAAGCCAACTCACCAATGCATTAACCAATAAACCCACTAAAGAAACCCAAGCAATAACAATGTTCTTAAGCTGGCACTGCAAGAACCTCTGCAATGGGAACTGAAACGCAAAGCTGAAGTGCAGGGGAAGGAGCCACAGAGCCACCACCCCCGACAGCTCTGCCACGTCATCTGCCTGCCCCAGCAGCTTCAGAATTGGAGTTGCAAATATGTAAACAGGCGTAAGGAGAAGGCAGCAGAGGAACAGCACAATCCATGACCTTTGCAAGTATATCCCAAGCATGTGGTACCTTTTGGCTCCAAAGGCCTGCCCACAAAGGGTTTCTAATGCGCTTGCCATTCCTAACTAATGGGCACATAAGCAAATTGTAGAACAGTTAGAGATCACAAACTCAAATTCCGGGTAATGTTCTCTAGCCAGTTATCACGCATTTCCAAAATTGAAGCCCAAAATTTGTACAAAAAGTGTTTTATACATTAATTACGTACCAATAGCCCAAAATTGAAGCCGACGATGACAGTGTTGGCAATGGAAATGGAAGCCAATTGGACCTCACCGAGGTGGCCAGCGAAGGCTTGCGTAATGACGTTCATGGTGTAAGAAGCGAGCCTGCTGAAGATGGCAGGACCCACGATTTGCCATAGCTTCTTGGTCTCTGTCCAAACCCTTATTGAAAGGCTCTCATTTTTGTTCTCATGAGCACCATTTTGGGGCAATGGTTCTGGCAAAAGGGATAGGGTAAGGTCATCGTTTTCGTCCCTGTCTTTGCTGCTTGCCATTAGAGAAACAAGAAAGAAAGAGTCTATAATTATTGGCCTGCTGCTGCCTCAGTCTATGAGAGAGATTGAGAGCTTGGGTTTTGGTGACATTTGAAGACCAAAAGAGTGTAGTTAAGAGAGAATTGTTACATAGGGGTACATAACAAAAGAGTGAAAGAATAGGGGGGTTTGAGATCACAGGCTTGTGGGGCTAGAGACTAGGGTTGGCCAATTCTTTCTCAATGAAGTTATTGCCAACCAAATTGAATTCTTGTTTGAAAAATTGGCGAGCTGTAAAAAACAAATAGAACCTGCAGCTATCTACGTGTGTGACGACCAGGAGAGGTCTAAAGAAATTGATATATCATTTTCAGTCTTGTATAATATAATTGTGGGCTTTCATTGAGGGCTTATTGAAGATGATCTGAGCCACACACTGTTTAGCAATATTTAGAAAACTATTTAACTATATTTGATTATCACCAAACTTATTTTAATATTTACTCTTTGTTCGTTTATTTATTTGACCACAATTAAATGTTTTATTGTTTTTTGACTTGTTTAAATATTTCAGGGATCGATGATTCTTGATCATAGATTGAAAATTTGACAATTCATATCATTGAATTGGAACACAAAATAGGCCTACAATGTGTCCCTCAAATAACCCTATGTAATTGACTACAACAATAGAAACTAACTAAATATGTTGTCAATCACTAAATCGAAATGATGTTTTAACTGATTATGTCGTGAATATTTTAATTTTTAATCAAACTTGCGTGACAAACTATAGCAAGCAAAGCAAGATTAGAAGCCAAAATAGGTACTAGTTTTTTTTTAAGGACCAGGACGATTTGCGGGTACAGAGCTTTAGAATGTTGATCTAATATAAGGACAAGGACGATTGCCATAAATGATCCAACTGCCAAAGTTGATTAATATGAGGACAAGGAAATTATTTCAGTCTCGTATATAGTTGGATTTTTGTGATAATTTAAGAAGTTGGAGTTCAAAAATTTATTTGCCCTCGTCAAAGGAATGTTGAATCTAGGATCCTACCTTTCACTCATCTCCTTTCCAAGCTAGCTATGAGATTTCAGGAAAACAAGTTACTAAAGTCTCAGTTATCTTTGGCCAGAAAGAACTATGGTGTTGACAAGAATGTAATCTTTTTTCATTTCATGTTACTGGAACTGGAATTGAAGCTCGTGGCATCATTGGCATTGGCGACTTTGACAGGTAGTTGGATGTTTCTGTGTTGTAAATGACCTTGTCGATGGTGTCAATAATTGTTCTTTACATTGGCAGATTACAAACGTATATGCTTACGTAGTGCAACTAAAGGACAAATATCGAAAAAGACTCCTTAAGTCATGGAAATTCGTACATTATCGGTCTTCCATAACTACACTGAACATCTAAAAAATATATAAAAGGAATTCATATGTTCAGTATGAGAAGAAGTAAAAAAAGTTACTACTGGAGATTGAAAGATCATCTTATGATTTTTCTAAAACTAATTCCTATTTCTATTGTGTGTATTTCTTTTTAATTTTTGGTTCAAAAGTCAAAATCCCTCTTAATAAGGTAACCAATGAACTTTCAAAGTTTAGAAGTTCAGGGTATTTAGTGCCCGTTTGGCATTGCTTATTTGGGGTGATAAGTGATTTTTTAAAAATTTTGAGAAGCACAACCCTTTTGGTAAACTGTGAGAAAATCACTTATTGTTAAAAATTGCTGTGAGAGAAAGCTATAAGGGAAAGCAGCTAATGAGGTGCTATCATTTTCTGATTATGCAGAAATCAGTTTCGAATAGGCGTTGGGTTTAATGATTATGCAACAATTATTTTCTGATTTTGTTGAAATCAATATCAACAACACTTTTAGCAAAAAATTTACCAAACGCCAAACTTCTTTCTCTTACAGCTGATTTCTCTCACAGCAAATCTAACAGCGATTATTTTCACAGCACAGCAATGCCAAACTGGCCCTTAATCAAGTTACGTTGATCAAACTACAAACGATATAAGAATTAATAGGCTTCTTCTGCCCTAGGGTTATGAGCCTATAGTTGGCGATTTTCAAGATCATAAGGTCATTCCATAGGTATAATGTTAATTAATTATCAAATTGATGAAAATTGGGTTTGAATGATTTTCATAAACGAATATTCAATAGCTTAGTCAATCAAGGAGGGCTCCACAAAAAGGGTAAGTTGATCTGGGGCAATTGACTGCGTGTAGGGTAGGGGATTCAATGGAATGTGCTACAACAACCGTGGTAGAGAATAGGAAGACGTGCACACATTTTGTTCACAAAAAACAACCCTAAATTCCAAAAAATATATTTTTCATTCCACTCCTTTTAACTCCATATATGTCTCTTTGACTGTTAGTTGGGGTTTTGTTCAAGCCCTCATATGTGTTACATTCTCAGCCACTTTATTTGGTATTTATTTCTCACACTTGTTTGAAGCTTTCTTCTTGTTTTATTTTCTGATGGGAATCAGTTCACCACGAGTCCAAAATAAAGACTTGGAAATGAATGAAATGTCTTGGTCAGGTTGAAGACAGGCAAGGGAAATTGAATGAAAGAACGTTATTTCTTCTTCAAATATACAAAGAAAGGTGATGACGACGTACTTGATACTTGATAGGGTAGGCCATCAGCCATGCAATTTATATCACATTAATTAAGCAGCTCATATCCAGAGTTTGGGTGGCAGGTACACAATATAAAGTAGGTGTGTTAGTTGGATTGACTGGTTGGTGTGCTTCCAAGTAATCCTGACGTTCAAGTCCCAATAATATCCATGTGTGCGAATTTCTTCCCTCCCCTTTCTAACTTTGGCCAAAAGAAAGCTTCAAGTTCATTAGCCAAACAAGACTGATAGAATTGGTTCTCTTTCTTTCAATTTTTTTGGGTTAGAAAGGTTTGGAATGCCAGTAAACAGCTCCCTTCTTTAATTAAGGAAAGAAACACCAACACAATTATAAATATTTGAATCCATGTACAAGGTAAAACTAATTTGTTTTATTATAAAATTATGATAATAAGTAAATTCAGTAAAAGAAAGAAAACAACAACCACCACCAGGTAGAAATTGGGCTAGCCAAAAGAGAAAATGCATACAAGCAAGGCAACAGGCCCAACACAAGAAGGCCAACACCAGCATCAAAGGCCAGGAGAAACAAACTAATAGCAAAAAGAAACCTGAGCCATATGACATCAACAACTCACAATCAGACTAACAACGAAGCAACATAGGCATACTAGCAAAAAGCAGAGGAAGCCAATAGCAGCAAGTGGCAGAAGCCTTCAAACCAAGAAAGCTCAATGGAAACCAGCCAAAGAAAGCAGAAGAGACCTCCAGCAAAACTGGAGCCAACAATTACCAATCTATGTTCATTTAATATCTCTGTTCAACACTGACGAAATTTGTGGTATTGCTATTGTAAAACAATAGTATGCTCAAGAGAAGAGTGGTGAGCTTTGCATACCATCAACATAATGGTGCAGCTGTATTTATTTTGATATTTCAAGGTTAACAGTTACAAACGATTACATGAAAATCCCTATTTACATGGGAATTAATCTATACATTTGAAAATCAAAAAGATAATTATATCACAAAACAGATAAGGACTTTGAATTCAAACTTGCAGATAACGTCTGTCTAACAGCTATATCCATGTCATGTCGTAACTCTTGTTCTGTACCAGCTCACTAGAGATAATCAGGCAACCATCATATTCTGATACCTGTGGCACTATTGTCACTTCTCATTACCTGATAATCAGAAATTGCATATCAGTCTCCAAGTCTAAATTGATTGAAACTATCATTTTATAATTCAAATTAGACATGAGATAGTTGGACAAAGAAATCACTAACACTTTGAAGTTTGAATGGAAAAGCGGCAAACGATTACTGTTGAGCTGAGATCACTGGTTTGGAAGTTGCCTCCTTTGCTATTTGAATTTGAGCTCTCTGTGCCTGTTCAAACAAAAGTTCAATTACATAGAAAGTGCCAAAAGGACTGTCTTTCACAGTATCACCATTTGAACTATATATTACCTCTTTTTCCCAATCCAATCTCATGGTGATAATGACTAATATCAAGGTCTGAACCACAGTTCCACTGATCATTCCAGTCCACAATCCCTACTTATTCGTTTAAACCACATGCAAGATCAAGAAATCAGATTAGATTCTCAATTTTGCGTAACATTTGGAGCAACAAGTGAGAAATTTCTCACTTAAACTTAACTATGCAGTTAAAACATGCCATAATTGCAGTTTATTCAACAATAATGAGCCACCATGTACATTTCTAACTTTCTACAATTTAATTAAAACCATGATAATTGAAAATCTGAAGCATGTGTGACTCTTCAG